AGTTGTCATATGCGCATCACGCAGAGGGAGAGACGAAAGGCGCAGCGGCAGAGCAGTTGTAACGCAGTTTTGTGTGATTCCGTGTGAGTTAATGAAACTGTAAGTATTATTACCTTTGATAGGTTAACTGGTGTGATAATAGTTATAGTTGTTTGTGCAGGTTAAAGCTAAAGTTGTGCCGCTGTAAACTGATATCATGTTAGTAGGTTTATTTAATTAATTTGCACTAAGTAAATACCAGTGGCCTAAATCTCCTCCAATAATTACATCCCGCGGTTAAAGGATTTTTCTGTTGTTTATTGTTTAGTTTAATTGTTGTTAGCTTGCCACCTTCTTGCCTTCCCACTAGCAACTTGGAAGAGATGTGCTATTTAGCCAACTTATGCTCTTACAGCGACCCCTTGTGGACATTGTGAACTATTGCTGTGTCTGAGTAGATGATGTGTTCTGATTGTTTCTTAGTTATCTTTGACCCTACTAGCTATAGTATTACCTGTTTCTGTTTCCAGACAACCATGCTTATAGTCACCTATACTGCATCTGCTACAATTATAAATTCATGTCTGGCTGCATCACAGTTGGATTTATCCTGGCAAGCCCTGCTGTAACCAGTTCTTCTGTGAAGCTTAATTAAAGACAGTGAACTAAACTCCAGGACTGCTGCAGTCTTTCTGACCGAAGACTTAGGCCACACTTGTATACCCAACACTTCCAGTATATATATACTCTACAAGGAATGTCATTCTTACCACTCTAAGCTCTCAAATTGGTTAAGGCATTTTTCATAACAGTTTAAAATAAAAAATAAAAAACTTCCTGACCTTGGACAGAGAACATCAAACATATCGGCCTAATGTACAGTAAAAGTGTTCAGACACAAAAATGAAGTGTAAACAGTTTCTTTGAATAATTGCTGAAATGGAGAAAATCATTAAAAAGACAATATATAGAATGTGAGACCAAATACTGTACAGGCCACTAAAGTCACACTACATACATTCAGCAGTCACTTTATTAGGTACACCTGTCCTACTGCTATATTCTCTTATCTCTAATCTACACCTCCACCGTCTCCTCCTTGTTCTCTTCTTCTTGTGGCATCTATAGCAGGATGCAGAGCTTCTTGGATTTAGTATCTGGAGGTTCAAGAGCAGCAAGAATAGCCTCATCAAACACGTTCTTCAATCCTTCCTGAGAGAGAGACAAAAAAGAAAAACAACAACAAAACAAGCACATGAGAGAGGTTTAGCAAGTTAAAACCATTTGAGCTGTTTGTCTTGCTTTCTTCACGGGTGATAAGTCCTTGAACCATCGGGCCTGCGAGGCGCAGACCCAACAGAGAGGCTCCTCTTGGTGCCAAAATGACTTCCATCCAGTTCTATAGAAAACAGCCCTCTTTGACCTTAGTAAACACTTTCCTGGTGCCTGTACTGGGTGTAAACCCTAAACCAGATGACCCAATTAACTCTAAAATACTAATGTTGAGTGATTTTCACCCATGTGAACATTTTACAAAACCTGCTTGTTAGTGTTAAAGAGATCGATCGAGCTGAACTGAGTGGGAATATACACCAATATAAACATCTGTTGGCTTCTGTTGGTAGTTTAAAGCCAGTGTGAAGCATCAGGAATGAGAATTTGCACCATTAAGGCTGAGGCCATGGCTATGATTTGGTAAAGGGCAGCGTGCCCAGTCCCACTTGAGTATGAGTAGGAATGGGCATGACTGAGTGGAGAAGTTTAAATGTCCCAGGGTCATGAGTGAGGGAAGAAGAATGGATTGGTGTGACACCGACAGTGACATGGACACAGTACCAACCTGTTGTGATGAACAGAGCTGAGCATGTAAGTAATGCTGTCAATATACTGGTCAATCTACACCAACACCCTCACCTATGGTCACGAGCTTCATGTAGTGACTCAAAGAATAAAGCTGCAGATGCAAGTGGCTGAAAAGTGAGATACTATGTGATAAAATGTCACTGTCATCTTCCTGTGGGCTCACTGTTTAAAAAAGAACTCAGTCATTCAAGACAGACTCAGCATCATGGGTGTCATGTGCCTCAGTCTGGTCACTCTTTTCATCTTTCTTCTTCATCTGTGTGTGGATGTGATTATCTATTAACCAATCTCTGGAAACCCAGGAGAGGCACACATGTTTCCCATCAGCAATCAATACAATAATTAACCCTGGGTTCCACTACCGCTTGTTAACCCACCCTGACCTACTCGTGCTCTGCTGGCTGAAATAGCACACAGCCTTGGATTTTAAGGTACCTTTATCACTAATGAAGACGTTCATATTTCTCTTAACTTTGCACCCAAAAACTTATAGATACCAGTGCTTGTTTCTCAGCAGAAACACCAGCAGACTTCTTCTCCCTCGTACCTGTGTCTCAGCTGAACACTCCACGTATTTGACTGCCTTCAGCTTACGAGCCACTTCCTCTCCACTCGTGAAGGTCACAGCGTGTTGGTTTCTCTGGGCCAGCTTCTCCAGGGTGTGGCTGTCATCTCTTAAATGCACCTGAGTCCCGACCAACAGGAAGGGCGTCCCCGGGCAGTGGTGTGAAATCTCTGGCACCCACTGTGGAAAAATCAAGGTCAGGTTTGATGGGCTTTTACTGCAACAACTGACCTGTAGCTCTGTGTGTGCGTACATCTCTGAAGTTAGAAACCAAACAAAATTACCTTTGTGACTTTGTCATAAAGTGCACATGCGCCATTAGCATGCTGCCTGCTGTAACCCTTAATTTCCTTCAAGATTAATAAAGTATTCTGATTCTGAGAATATAAAGCGCCTTGAGGCGACTGTTTTGAAAAAATGTTACATAACTTAATCTGATATTGGATTATTAAATATTTTGGCAATTAACTTCCCCGTGTGAGCATGAAAACATAATATTCATTAGACGTTTATCTCTCCCTGAAGTCCGTTTTGAATTAGAGACTGCAGTTATTTGTTTTAGAAACATCATCATTAGATGTCCCAGTGGTTAAAGACCACTAATTAACCAAAACAATCCAATACAGATGCCAACATAAAAAGCCGAGGTAGAAAAGTGAGTTTTAAAACTAGATTTAAAAGATAGTGTTGATTCTGCAGTATGACTATTAAGTAGCAGTCTTAAAACTGTGACTGCAAACTCCCAATCTGGAGATCGCAATCGAGATGAGCATCTGACTAGAAGATCTTAGGGCTCTTGGGGTTAAATAAGTTGAGCTGGTTGGTTAAATAGCTGGGTACGACACCATTTAAAACTTTAAAAGTAAGGAAAATCTTAAAACCAGCCGAAAAATGGACAGGAAGCCTGTGAAAACCTGCTAAAAGTGGAGTGATGTGATCATGCATTTTGGACTAACTGCAAACGATTAAGA